CGGTAACAAACACTCATTAGGCACCTTTTATGCGATAGGAAATACACACGGTGGCATGGAAGAGTGAGCTTTCCCAGGGAGGGTCCCATGCATGTGTGTGTGAAGGCCAGGCCCAGAACAGTCACACACACACACACACACACACACACACACACACACACACACACACAACATGGACAGTTGCAAACTGGGATGAGCGTGGTGACAGGAAGGATCAGGAGGAACTAGGAACAGCCCCGAGGATGGTGGCCGGGAAATACCTCGCTGGGAAGGTGGCGTTTTAGCTGACACTCAACAGAGGAGTTCAGCTCCTCAGCCCCGCAGCTGTCATAGGAAAAGCTATCCCAAGTAGAGGGCACCGGAAGTGGGGGGTCCGGAGCTAGCAACGGGCATGGGGAGCTGGAGGAACAGAGAGGGACCTGTGTGTCTGGAGCAGGGTGCAGAGCCCATATGCAGGGACTGGCTCAGGGCTGCTGGGTCCTGAGCGGGGCTTTGGACTGAACTACAAACTGTTGGATTTGGGTTGTACAAATTGTTGTCGTGAGAAGATGGGCATAAATGTAATAAGGATGTAATGTCATTTTTTCCTTCTGAGACGTTAAACACTTCTCACTCAGCTCCGGCTCCCCCATCCAGTTTCCTTTTGGGGAACTTCCTTCTTCCCCGTTCTGCCTTAGTGCCAAGCAAGCCTGTTGCCCTGGACGGGCCCCCTGGAGACCTCTTAGTTTGTCATGGAAGGTCACAAGGGTGAGGGGGGCTCTGGGGTGGGTGGGGGGTGTTTTGCAGAAAGGGTGCCATGACTGGGTCTGCTTTGAAGAGATGGCTCTAGAGAAGGTCCCATAGCAACCTCCAGGTCTTCATCAGCCGGGCCCTGAGGCTTCTCCTTGAACTCAACTTGTCCTTGAAACTTGGAGCAGGGAAGCTGGGAGGATCCTGGGAGAAGGAGGGAAGGGAGAGGACTGGACCTCTTCTCACCACATCCTCCAAGTCCTGCTTTGGGCAGACAGAGGTCACGGCCAAGCAGAGATGGAGGCACTTTCTTGTCCTCGCTTCCTAGTGATGAAATCATTGGCACACTCCAGATCCGGCTGCAAATCCAGATGGCCAGCGGCGAGGCAGGGCGGACTCTGGCCACCTGAGCTGGTTAGGTGGGACAGCCAGTGACAGCTTTGTCTCCTTCCTCACCTACTCCCTTTCCTCCCCCCCCCCACCCCCCATGGAACATGCCATGGGGACTGTAGAGCACCATTCAAAACAGGGAGCTCCCCTGTGACCAACTAAGAGGTCTCCAGGGGCCCTGTCCAGGGCAACAGGTTTGCTAGGCTCGGAGGCAGAACAGGGAAGAAGTTAGTTCCCCAAAAGGAAACTGGATGGGGGAGCGGAGCTGAGTGAGACGGGCTTAGCTTCTCGGAAGGACAAACTGAAAACACTTGTCTATATTTTTATTATATTTATGCCCATCTTCTTACAAAAACAATTTGGACACGTCATCTCCATCACCCATCCCCAGACCAACACCCTTAACAAACGATTGGGGAAAAACCCCTCCCCAGGGACGGGGCTGCAGGTGGAGAACCGAGCCGGGCAGGCGACTCACAGGGGCAACTGTTTACCTGCAGTAACTGTGTTTCCTGAGATTCTTGAGGGCTGAAAGATGCAGGCGCCCATACATTGGTTTTAAGCAGTTGCGATTCACCTCCTCTTGGGTGGGTGGGTGGTGTCACCTGCTGGAAATGGGCTCAAATGAGGGGGAAGGGCGGGAATTGACAGCAGCAGGTAGGGGCTTTGA